GGGCGAAGGCCCGGGCACCCGGACCGGCCAGGGACCTTCCCCAGGTCACGGCTGGAGGAGGCCGGGCACCCGGGGGTGCGCCCAGGCAGGAGGACCAGGCACCCGGGGCTGTAGGGTCCGGACACCCAGGGTGTCTAGAGGGTTTGCTCCCCCCTCTGCCATATGTCCGGGCACCCGGGGTGTCCCGAGGGTCCTTTTCTTCGAGCTTCCCGTGTCTTCCCTTCTCCATGGTTCCTTGGACCTCCATCATAGCCTCCACACGGCCGTCTCCTTCATACTTAAGAGTGCATAACATCTCCGTTTAAGGTAGAACCCAATTCTCATGTGAATCCGAACGAAACTTGAAGAGGAAAGAATTGACCTTGTTCTCGATGGCGCGTGCACATGCTCTTGTCATTGTCCTCTCAGTGCTTGTGGTGGTGATGGAGTGTCCATGTGTATGGTCAAGGGATGCTCCACATCATATATGTAAGAGAAAGTCCGTCAGTACAAGCATTCCTGCATGTGAAAATACTGAACCGTTTCTAGTCTATTATGTTGCTTACATTTAATAAATATACAATAAATCAAATGTATTTAAGTTTAATTCTCATATTATTAATCAAAATTTTCATGTTTTATAGAATCAATTCTCATTGAAATGTATTGCAACCAATTTACGTAACAACACACAATGTATCATTTAGTTTTCTTAATCGTAGGAGCCAAGTTTCAGCTATTTTACAGCTACGCATGGCACTTTCCCACGGAACTGAGAGTTGATATACATGGAGATACCATTTTCTGATCAACGGCCATTAGATCTAGCGGAAAACACCATGAAGCTGATTTTCATCCATAATTTGAACAAGCATTTTTGTCGTCATGATATGCATCAACAGTGTAGCATGTTTCTATACCCACCATATTATTATGGAAAATTTTAGCCAAAAGGCTGAGAGAAACAACAACAACAACAAATAGCTAGGAAATGCATCCTAAACCTTTGCCCGAATCTGCTTAGGAAAGTCCTCGAAACTTGGTTGTGACAAAACCAACAAGATGAATGACCACTCGGTAAAGTCAGGGCAATCTCAACTCGGGGTTGTTTTCCCATAAATTAACTGCCACAAAAACTAGGAAAAAAAGGAACTTGCAGTTTGATTCTTGGCAAGAATTTCAGATTAACCACACGGGGAAGCTTCGGTGTTGCACGATGATTTCAAGCACCCGAAGGACGTCTTTGACATGAAGTGCGATTAGAACAGAAGGCAAGAGCTGGACTTCTTCAGCAAGATATCCAGGATGTCCTTAGCCCGGACACAGACGCCTTCGTGAGCGTGTGGGATAGAATGTATGGTAGCCTACTCCGCTTTGGGCATCTGTATAAGAACTGGTGCCACGATTCACTACTTTGAGGCAAAAAGCAGAACTGATGTCGGGCTTGCTTGTTCCCCCTTAGCTGCACCGAATGATTCACGCAACATAAGTTCGGCGTCTCCCCAAAATTGGAATTTCTCATGTTGACCTGCACAATTCAAATTAATAAATGTTTTGTTCGTGTATGTGTATATAAAGAAATGTACAAATGCCTATAGCCTGTGCCTGGGGTAGAGCGCATCTCATCTTATCTGTTCATGTTCAGTTGGCTATAAGGCCTCTTGACTCAAGTCCAGTGACGCTGTGAACATTGTCGTCGATGATGGTGTGACTTGTGAGTTCAACAATATTAGCTTCAACTGCCTTATGAACTTGCCAACTAATGGGCTCTAGTTTGTTTGCTGGTTAGAATATGTTATGTGATGTTGCAGTGCCAGTGCTGCAAAACTGCAAGTCATGTTGCCGGTGGAAAGGTAGAAGGATGCTATACGTGAAGAGACGAGAACCAACCTAGGCGCCTAATTCAGAGACTCGAGAGTTGCACAAAACCGCCTGATCTCAATAAAACTCCTTTTATGGAGTATAGATTGCAAAATTCTCTATCAAATTTCCAAAAGTGGTCTCCACCCCTAATTTATTTTGGGATGCTCTAAATCTAGCCCTTTACCCTTCCTCGAGGACGTGAAGGATATTTTTGAGTGCACTAGATAATCTTTTAGGAGTTTTTTTAGAAATAGAGGGTAGAAATCCCCATCTGATCATGACCTCACTTTAGGAAAAGATTGATCAAGTTTATTAAAAAAACCTAACCGAAACCCTCAACAACCCATAGGGCAATATTCTCCTAGGAGTGGATGGAGGGAAATTTCCATCAACTGCCTCACCATGAGTGCCCCTGGTTTCACTGTTACTGCCCAGAATCGATCTCCAACACCCGCATAGCTGCCGTTGCCATCCTGCCGCCGACACTGCTTTCTCCCACCCCTTCCTTCCCTCTCCTCCCGACCATCATAACCCTTCTCACACCGCCGGACGGCACGAGCCCCCAGCTGTGGCGGGCAACCCTAGGCCTCGACACGTGAGGTGCTTGAGTGGCCAACAGTGGATGCATTGGAGAGGGTCTGGGTGTCATGCTGCATGCCGCCGCCTATGTCAAACGACGGTGGAGAGCCAAGCGACCCAAGCATGACCTCAAGTGTTGGCACTTGCCTACTCGGTAACATTGGAGGTGTCGAGCCGGAGGTCCTAGCGGCTACACAGGAGGAGCCTGCAAGGCACACGACGACTGTGACACCCCTGGCCGCAGGAGGCGGCGGTAGTGTCGTGTAGTGTCGTGTGGTTAGAGGCCGTATCCTTGGAGGAGGTAGGCGGCGGCGAGAGGATCCATGTCGGGGAGAGCGCGGCGGGTCCTACATTAGGGCTTGTTCGGTCAATGCCCCTCAATCCCCTACAAACCTCTTCAACCTCTGCCTAACCGAACAAGCCCCATTTTTAATAGGAAGGCCTACATGACTAGCTTTATTAAAAATCAAACCACAGTTACATCGTTCGTTCGTTAATAATTTAATGTTAAAATCCGGGGGTAAATCAAACCAAACCAAGGGCTGGTTCTCACGACCCTATTCAACTAGCACATGAGATACTACATTAGACTCCCTATTACAAAAATTGACACAAGACTTCCCGAACTCACTTAACTCCCGACAACAAGCATCTAATATAAGGGTTGTCACCATAGAATACTCATCCTGGTTAAGAGCTTGAACCACCGTGATATTATCCATGCACACAAAAATCATTGCACCCCATCCAGTTAGCCAGCTTCATACCTTCACACAACGTCACGGCCTCAGCTGACACAACATTAGGGACATGGTCAACTTTTGCAGTTGCCGTTGCCAAGAAGAATCCTGCGTGATCATGAACCTCTGTGCCAGAAGAACCTGAAAAATCTGCCTATGAAAAAAAAATAAGCATTGACATTAACGATAGTCCGGCCAGCTAGAGCCTTCCTGAACAAGCCCTTAGTGAGGGGATTAACCAAACAAGGAGTTAGGAGAGATGGAGGGGAAGACAAATATTTTTTCCGCTGCTGGGTTTGCACGTTAGCTGTAGAGCATCTAAAAATCATTAGCAATTTTGCTAAGTCTTAGTCGAGTGAGACTTCGTTATATCTCAACCGATGCTATATTCCTTTGATCTTGCATAGATTTATACTCTCTCCTGTTCTTTTTACTTTGCATATAAGAATTATCTGAAGTCAACTTTGTAAAGTTTGATCATATTTATATGAAAAAATATTAACATCTACAATGCTAAATTTATACAATATGGAAACTTAAGTCATGATGCATCTAATGATGTTGATTTGACATTCTGAATGTTTGTATTTTTCTAGAAATTTGGTCAAAATTTATCAGGTTTGATTTCAGGCAAATCTTATATACGAACTAAAAAGGGCCAAAGGGAGTACAAATTATGTTTGCTGTTTTTTCTTCTTCTTCTTCTTATATACTATGTCACTTGACTAAAATTTGGTTAAATCTCAGTCGACTGAGGGGCAAGTAGTGGCTGAAACCCAGCTCGATGCACCCACGCAAGAAAACATAGCAAAATATTAAAAAAAAAAGCCGAAACCTTGTGGAAATGACTATGAACAAATGTTAGAAGTACTTGCAAAGTTTTGTGGACAAATGACATCCGAGGAGCATTGTACACTTTTCTTTCACAAATTTTGCTCAAAAGTGCACATATATTTTGAGTAATTTTGTTTTTTTATACAGAGCTTCTCGAATGTCATTTGATCACCAAACTATGCAAACACTTCTAACATTTGTTCATAATTATTCCCACAAAGTTTCAGTTTTTTTAAATGATTTACTACATTTTCTTGTGTGGGTGTAGTGTGGGTGCACCGAGCTAGGTGTAGAATACCACTCTCATCGACTGAGATCTAAACACACCCAATTATTAGAGCACAGTCAGAAACAATTTTTGAGGCTGCCCTTTCAGAGTATCTCCCAGAGTAGCTCTTGACAGCAACGTAAACTGATCTTACCCTATCATGTAGAGTGCGGTCTATTTTCTGAAAAGTGTATAGAGTGTGGTCTGACGCAGCGTTGCGTCTCCAAGTCAAGGTCTCCACAAAGTAAAGCCATCCATATAAAAGCATCCAAGCCGGAGCTGTGAGCATCTACCTAGCTAGTACTGCAGATTTCCTTACACGGAGGCGGGGCAAACGGGAAGGGGAGGATGAGTGCGCGAGCACCGCCGCCGCCGACCATGCCGGAGTCCGACTGGGCGGTCAGGCGGATCCGCAAGGAGCTGAAGCTGCTCTGGCTCGACCCCCCGGCGTTCTGCCGGCCCGGCCCGGCGCCCGTGACGGACCCGTTCCACTGGGAGGTGGTCATCGACGGGCCCGACGGCAGCCCCTACTCCGGCGGCACGTTCCCCGTTGACGTCGCCATCCCCAAGAAGTACCCCATGAAGCCCATCAAGCTCACCTTCAAAACCAAGGTACGTGCGCGCGTGCGTGCTCCGCGTGGCAACAGAGGAGATTGATCGCGCATGCGGTACGTCGTTTGATCCCTTCCCATACCCGTCGTGATCTCTCCGCGTGCATGCGCTGCAGGTGTACCATCCGAACATCGGGCCGGAGGGGAGGATGGCCCTGGACATCTTCGGCGAGTGGTGGAGCCCGGCGATCACGATAAGCACGGCCCTCCTGTCCGTCGTCTCCGTCCTCTACGACCCCGTGCTGGATCTCCCCGTCCGCCGCGACGCCGCCCTGCAGTACAGGCACGAGCGGGGTCTCTTCGAGCAGAAAGCCAGGCGCTGGACCCGCAGATACGCCTCGGCGCCGGTCGCCTCCTTCTGCCCGGCAGCGCCAGGGAAGGAGCTGCTGGAGGAGGCGGCGACAAGTGGGGCAGTGGCACGTCGTCGTTCTTGCGGGGCAGGCAAATGGCGTTTCTTCGCGGCTCGTCTCCTTGCCATCTAGAGCATGCGTTCGGCCGTTCACCGCGATGAAGTTCTTTCACCACAAGAACTACTAGTACTAATTTGGTCTAATATGTAATTTCGATAGAGTGGGTTGTCTTAATTAGTCATGTTCGGATGCTTATTGGCGTTGGTGCGAGCCTCGTTGCACCGCACTGAGGCGAGGTGTAGTGGTCGATGAATGCTCCTACGCAACTTCTGGAAACAGAAAGCATGGTATCTGTGCCTTTGTTCCGTGTTCTTATTGTACTAAGCTGTGTGCTGCCCTTTGTATGATCTAGTAGTTTTTTTTTTGCAGGGTATGATCTAGTAGTTGATGGTGACAGGTTTTGACGCTTTTCTTCAATTTTTTTTTATCTTATACGACCACGTCGTACGCCTCGCTACGTGAGACCCATTCGGATTCACGACATGTGTCAGTACCTATCTCAAAGCACTAGACCCCGATTAGACCCAGCCGAGCCTTAATTCTGACTAGTCAAGTAACTCAACATCAAGCAACAAAAGTAAATTATACTCTTTAAATATTTGATAGGATCTATGATGTTTCTGTCCAACACCCATCAGATTGGAGATAAACATCAATCTAAAAGAAGCTAGTTACTAAAATTTATTCTTGGTGCACAATACAAACACTAATGAGGTAATGCATACTACTTGCTAGCTACCACATTAGTGTTGACTGGTAATGCATACTGTTAGGTTGATCTCTTCTCCGTTCAAACCCAACGGGTCGAACGGGCCCTTGCATCGCGCCCTGATCGTGGGCGCCCAACTAAATCATGGTTGGTGGGCCCTTGTCACCCACGCTATATTAACAGAGGTGGGGGCCGGGACACGGGTCACGAGGTTAATCGCTGCAACAATTCCCACCTACAATCCCTACCGATCTAGGGTTAGCGCGGTGCTCACGGGAAGCACACCACCCCGCCATCTCTCTGCCATCACCGGCCCCTACTTCACCATGGCCGGCACTGGATCGAGCTCATCTGGACAAGCAGAAGGTAGGTTCGCCGGAATGATCTAACCGACCCGATCCACATCACTCTATCAATGGTATCAGCCAGATCGGGTTAGAGTTTTTCGGTTGAAACGAAATCACAGAAAGAAATCCCCTCCCAAAAGAACCCTAGATAGGGCAAAGTTTCACCGGAGAAGGGCCTCGGGCCTCGCCGGCAAAGTGCGCTGCCGCAAGGCCGCGCCTATTCCTCTCGATCCCCACACACATCGGTAAGCCGAGGTGCGGGGACGAAGAACTACCCCACATGGGGCAAAGAGCACCACCACCAAGCCGTTTAACGGCGGCGCGTTCACCCTCATGGTGCTCGCGCACGCCGGCAAAGGGGTCAACGGGGGCACTGCGTCTGATGGCGCCGAACCTCTCGCATCTCTCGCATCTCTCTCTCTCTTTCTCTCTCTCTGCATGAAGGAGGCTGTGGTGGATGGGTGAGAGAAGGGGGAAGGGAAAAGGAGAGCACAATGATACGTCTCCGTCGTATCTACTTTTCCAAACACTTTTGCCCTTGTTTTGGACTCTAACTTGCATGATTTGAATGAAACTAACCCGGACTGACGCTGTTTTCAGCAGAATTGCCATGGTGTTATTTATGTGCAGAAACAAAAGTTCTCGGAATGACCTGAAACTTCACGGAACGTCTATTTGAAAATAATAAAAAATCCTTGCAAAAGATGAAGACCAGGGGGCCCACACCCTAGCCACGAGGGTGGGGGCGCGCCTGCCCCCCTAGAGCGCGCCCCCTACCTCGTGCCCCCTGGAGCTCCTCCGACCTCAACCCCAACTCTATATATTTGCTTTCGGGGAGAAAAAAATCAGAGAGAAGGATTCATCGCGTTTTACGATACGGAGCTGCCGCCAAGCCCTAAAACCTCTCGGGAGGGCTGATTTAGAGTCCGTTCGGGGCTCCGGAGAGGGGAATCCGTCGCCATTGTCATTGAGGGAGTCCTGGATTAGGGGTCTCCGGACAGCCGGACTATATCCTTTGGCCGGACTGTTGGACTATGAAGATACAAGGTTGAAGACTTCGTCCCGTGTCCGGATGGGACTCTCCTTGGCGTGGAAGGCAAGCTAGGCAATACAGATGTGCATATCTCCTCCCTTGTAACCGACCTTGTGTAACCCTAGCCCCCTCCGGTGTCTATATAAACTAGAGGGTTTAGTCTGTAGGACAACATACAATCATACCATAGGCTAGTTTCTAGGGTTTAACCTCTACGATCTCGTGGTAAATCAACTCTTGTAATACTCATATCATTAAGAACAATCAAGCAGGACGTAGGGTATTACCTCCATCAAGAGGGCCCGGACCTGGGTAAACATCGTGTCCCCTGCCTCCTATTACCATCCGCCTTACACGCATAGTTCGGGACCCCCTACCCGAGATCCGCCGGTTTTGACACCGACATTGGTGCTTTCATTGAGAGTTCCACTATGTCGTCACCATAAGGCTTGATGGCTCCTTCGATCATCGGTAGCGATGCGGTCTAGGGTGAGGTTTTCCTCCCCGGACAGATCTTTGTATTCGGCGGCTTCGCACTGCGGGCCAATTTGCTTGGCCATCTGGAGCACATCAAGAGCTACGCCCCTGGCCATCAGGTTAGATTCAGAAACTTGAACTACACGGCCGATATCTGCGGAGACTTGATCTTCGACGGATTCGAGCCCATGTCAGGTGTGCCGCACAGTCATGACGGGCATGCCATAACTCTACCGTCGGACAGTATTCGGGAGATCGCATCTGCAACTACTTCGGCCGTCAACCCGGAGCAAATCACGCCATCCGAGAGCGGAGGGATAGACCCCGCCACGGAGGCCGCGCTCTCAGCGGCGATAGAGCCGGATGCTGACTTCACCCCTTACGGGAGCCGTGTCACCGAACCACTGGATTCATCCCCGGCCACGGACTCCGAGCCGCTTACATCTGTGCCCGTCGAACCCGACTGGGCGCCGATCATGGAGTTCACCTCCACGGATATCTTTCAGCACTCACCTTTCAGCGATGTGCTAAATTCATTAAGGTGTCTCTCCCTGTCAGGAGAACCTTGGCCGAACTATGTCCGACTAGAATGGGATGCGGACGATGAAGAAATTCGCTGCCCACCCACCACCCACTTAGTAGCCACTGTCGACGATTTAACTGACATGCTTAACTTCGACTCCGAAGACATCGACGGCATGAACGAAGATGCAGGAGACGAACAGGAACCAGCGCCCACAGGGCGCCGAACAACTACTTCATCACATGACATATACATGATGGATACACCCAAAGAGGGCAATGGAGAAGAGACAGCGAAGGATGCCCCCTCCAAGCAACCCAAGCGCCGACGTCAGCGGCACCGCTCTAAGTCCCCCATAGCAAAAAAGCGATAACAACGCAAGAGGAAATAACAGTCCAGTCGACTCTAGAAGAAACGATGACTGCACCGCCCCGGTGGCAGAGCACGATCAAGATGCAAACGGCGAACATAGTGCGGATTCGGCGTTCGAACACGGCGACGCCAAGGATAAACCTCATCAAACCCCGTCTGGGGAGGAAAACAGTCCAGACGAAGATGCACACATCATCCCGAAAATGCACTTGGAGCAAGAGAACCTCCGCAGAAGGCTTATTGCCACAGCGAGGAGCCTGAAGAAGCAGAAGCAAAGGCTTAAGGCCACACAAGATACGCTCAACAGCAGGTGGAACAAAGTGCTCGACAACGAAACAAAGTATGGTGGAAGTTACCATACAAATAGCTATCCAAAGCGCAAGCTATTACCTGAATTCGACCATGAGGCCTTAGAGCCCACACAGTCGAAAAATGATACGGCCAACCGGCCGCATCCACCACCATGTGACCGCGATAGAGCGGCTAACAAAGTCGCACATAACTCAACACATGATCTACGTGAGAACTTGCGCCAAAAATCTGGCGCGACCAGATCCATCTATGGATCTAGGAAGCGCACTCCGGCACAAAATCAAAACCGAATACTACAACCGTTCGAACACCATGGCATATCCCAATACAGGGGTGCCGCACACCCCCTATGTTTCACCAATGAGGTGCTAGATCACGAATTCCCAGAAGGATTCAAACCAGTGAACATAGAGGCGTATGACGGGACCACAGACCCTGGAGTCTGGATCGAGGACTTTATCCTCCATATTCATATGGCTCGCGGAGACGATATCCATGCCATTAAATACTTGCCCCTCAAGCTTAAAGGGCCAGCTCGGCACTGGCTGAAAAGCCTCCCCGAAAACTCAATTGGAAGTTGGGAGGAGCTCGAGGATGCATTTCGGGCTAATTTTTAAGGGACTTATGTCGGACCTCCGGATGCAGACGATTTAAGTCATATAATCCAACAGTTCGGAGAGTCCGCCCGAAAGCTTTGGAACAGGTTCCTCTCCAAGAAGAACTAAATCGTCGACTGTCTGGACGCCGAAGCCTCAGCAGCTTTTAAACACAATGTCCGAGACAAATGGCTTGCCAGACACCTCGGCCAAGAAAAACCGAGAACAATGGCAGCCCCAACAAGCCTCATGACCCGCTTTTGCATGGGCGAAGACAACTGGTTGGCCCGTAGCAGCACCAGCGACCCAAGCACATCCGAAGCCAGGGATGGCAATGGAAAACCACGACGCAACAAAAACAAGCATCGAAATAAAGAAGGTAGCCCAGATAATACGGCGGTAAACGCCGGATTCAGGGGCTCTCGATCAGGTCAGCGGAAAAAGCCTTTCAAAGGCAACAGAGAAGGACCATCTGGCCTAAACAAGATTCTTGACAAGCTCTTTCAGATTCACGGCACCCCGACAAACCTGCAAATCACACCCACAGAGAATGTTGGGTCTTCAAGCAGGCCGGTAAGCTAAACGCCGAACACAAAGGGGAAGAGACACCAAGAGAAGACGAGGATGAACCTCGACAGCAAAGTACCGGAGGACAGAAAAAGTTCCCCCCAGAGGTTAAACGGTAAACATGATCCATGTGACG